TCCTTTTAAAAATATTTCATCCAAGTCAATCCACTTCCCAATCTTATTACCATTACCTTCTTCATCATAATTTCCACCTCCACTATAATTTTTCAAAAGATATATCTGTTAATTAAATTTTTTTACATTTAAACATCTTTATTTTTGTGTATATCTGAAAACAAAATATCCCACCTACCAACTTTTATCCCACTCTTATACAAACCTCTTTAAGTTATATATTTTCCTTCTAAAAATTAATCATCCAAGTCAATCCACTTCCCAATCTTATTGCCATTACCTTCTTCATCATAATTTCCACCTCCACTAACATTTTTCATAATATTTTTTATTACATTAAAATATCTTCATCTTCTTTTAACCAACTCTCCCATCTATCAACTTTTCTCCCATTTTTATACACACCAACATAAATTAAATAATTTCTTTCTTTCTATTCACCAAAGATATTTTATTTTTTTGAAACTATAATAGTCTAGTTTACTTCAATCCACTTTCCAGTCTTAGTACCATCACCTTCTTCATGGTATGATCCTCCGCCACTTAATATAATTTGCTATATTATTTTACATTTATTCCCAATTTTCCCCAAAAATTTCCCATTTACCAACTTTTTTACCTTTTTGAACTTATCCTCTTTCGAAAACCCTATCTTTCCTAAATTATCACATTTATGTTACTATTAACTTACATCTATCTCAATGCCATCTAAATCATATAAAACACAAAACCTAATTTTGACTCTCAAATATACATCAATCTATTGCCTTCTGAGTATATTCTCCAAACACCAACTTTATTACCATTTTTATATTCACCAATATACGTTCGTATGTCATGTCTCCATTTCATTTCCTATAAAGTCCACTTTCCTATTTTCATGCCTAGACCTTCTTCATCATATTCTCCTCCTCCGCTAAAACATATATCCCCACTAATATTATATATTTTACATTTTTAAATTTGGTTAACTATCATTAAAATAGTTTTTCCACATATCCCATCTACCCACCTTTTTACCATTTTTATATTCACCAATTTAAGTAATTTAGTTTGGCTAATCCGTTTCGATCCACTTCCCCTTCTTAAAGCCTTGAGCATAGAAACCACCACCACTTCACTTCTTAATAAAGATGATGTACAAATATTGATTTTTTACACTAAAAATTTCCCATTTGCCAACTTTCTTGCCAAGTTTTGTTTCTCCAATTAAAGTAGTTCCATTCTTACTGAAATAAACATGTAATATACGACATGCTTTTATTTTTCATTCTTCCCATTTGATCATAAAAAATAGCAAGCGCTAAAATCAAATAAAAAATCATACTGCAAATATATTTAACTCCAGAAACTTTTCCAAATACCTTATTTTTCACCATTTACATATTCACCAATGTGACTTAGTTATTTTGAAACACTAAATGTTTTTTCATTTATTTCAACCCATTTCCCAATCTTAATTCCTCTACCTTCTTCATCGTATGATCCACCACCACTAGAACACTTTAATTAATATTTTTTACATCTATTTATTGTTTTCACTATAATTGAACCAAATATCCCATCTTCCAATTTATTTATTGTTTTTATATTCACCGCTATTAATTAGACTTGTACAATTTTCATTCATTTCTCTCCACTTCCCTATTTTTTTTACCATCGAATTCATCATATGATCCTCCACCACTAGAAAATTTCGCATAATTAGACACTTTATTTCATATTTTTTACATTTATTTGTAACCATTTCCATTATTGAACCAAATACTCCATAAACCTTCTTTTTTACCATTTTTATATTCTCCTCCCCAAATTACTTATTTACCAATATAAAACTCTTCATCCAAATCAAACCATTTACCAACCTTTATTCCATTACCTCCTTCATCATATGATCCTCCACCACTAGAAAATTTTGCATAATTAGATTTATATCATATTTTTACATCTGTTTGTATCCGTTTCCATTATTGAACCAAGTACTCCATAAACCTACTTTTTTACCATTTTTATATTCTCCTCCAAAAATTACTTATTTACCATTATAAAATTCTTCATCCAAATCAATCCATTTGCCAACCTTTATTCCTATACCTCCTTCATCATATGATCCACCGCCGCTACTTAAAATCAAAATTTTACATCTCATCATTCAGATTAAAATATTGCCATTTTCCTACCTTTTTGTTATTAAGATACTCCCCCTATTCATACACTTAAGAGTGACTAAATTAGAAATGAAGAAAAACCAAAAATAATTCTTAAATAATTCGTTCCAGAGTCCTTACTTCATTCCATTTTCATAGTATCCACCATCCACTTTTAGTTATTTTCCTTTCCAAATAGCCTTCCACTTGCCCGATTTCAAATTGTTCTCTCCATATTCCCCTTACCAATCTAAACATACGATCTGCTCAATATTATAAAAAGTATTTGGTTTGGTTTGTTACTTTTTCAAAATAGCACCTTTATATGAATATAAGATTAGGTTATCATCAGAGTTAATTATGATTTCTATTTTAATCTTTATGCGTTTTTATTATAACTTATCCCACTTAGAAACCTCTATCTCTGGTATTTCTTTTAACAAATCTGTGTTATTTTTTGTCCTAGAGCTCATTTTCTTACAAAATATATCAATTATTTGTATTTCTATTACGAAAAAAAAGATAAAAAGCAAATCTTGATATTTAATTTAATGGCCTTGATAAAATAATCATTATTCTAAAAGAACCCATTAAAACACCTTAAGTTATTATATGGGAATATATTCTAATGTAAATCAATAATTGGGTTAGAATTTTTGAATTGTCCAGATAATAATTAACTATAGATAAATTGCCACCCAAATTGCCTGGAATGTGATGGTCCAATAAAAGATGATTGTCTATCATATTTTAAAGATTTTAATCAAAGGTATTTGCGAAATTTAACAAAATGTATTTATGATTATTGAACTACTGATGTGAATAATGAATGTGTTTATTACAAAGTTTTAAGGCTTAAATTAACTCAAGAAACCATAATAAGAGAAAGCAAATATGGTTTTTTGAATTTGAAGATAATTGTTTTAATATGTCATATTTTCATAATTATATTAGCCTATGCATATGTCATATGGAATCCTAACAAATTGATTGAAATGTTATTTGTTAAACAGCCCTGTATACAGATAAAGATGGAAATTTATGATAAGAGTGGAAGGCATACAATTATAATTTTTGTATGAGTTGATCTGATTGCAAAATATTAAGTTCAACATATAGGTTAGTTAAAAAAAAGAATAGAATTTTTTGTCAAATCTCAATCAATATTTTGAGAAAAATAGTAATATAAATGTTAAATTTTTATTTAATATTTTCTTAATTAGAGCTACTAATGTGGAGTAAAATGAGATGAATGTGAGAAATTACCAAGAAGTTTGATTGTTTTACAGAATGAGATACACCCCACAGCAAATATCAAATTGTGAGCCTCCAAATTTTGTGGATTTCAAAAATATTGTTTTTTAATTGAAAAATTTTCTATATTGTTTCTATTATTCAGCAAGTGTCCAAAAAAACCCATTCTATGTTTTTAAGAGGATTACTCATTTATTGAAGAAGAAATTCGAAATGGAAGTCACAAAAAAAAGAAAGTACCTTTTAAATTTCGATAGTTCTATAAAATATTTTCAATCTCACCATCCTTTTTATTATGTATTCTTATAAATCATTATATTCTTTGAAAATTGTAAAAATATTGATTACATATTGCTGAAGTGTATCAAATTATTTATTCTAATATGAAATTACATCTTATAATATTAAAAATTAATAACCTAGTATGTCTTATATTGTGTGAATTGCTATTTATCAAAAATTTGGCTTTATTCACACATCTTACAATATCTTGGCTATGAAAATATATTCTGGAGGAAATTGGATCAAAAATTTAATTTATTTATGCATGCATATAATTGGAATAAATCAATTTATTTAATTTTATAATAGAATTTGATGAATTTAAGAGATAAGAAAATTATGTTTTTTTTTAAAAAGATTAACTTCAAACTTGACTTTCTTATTATTTGAAATTCAATGAGAAGTCTAATTTAATTTCAATAATTCTTTCAAAATCAGTATTAAATTTTGACTAATTTTATTGAAATAAAATATTTGCAGATGGACAGGAATAAAGCAGAAGTATCTCCTTTTGAGCAGAATTGATTCACAATTTTAAAATTATTATTATTATTATTATTTCCTGTTAGGGTTTGGGGTTTGGGTTTGGGGTTGGGGTTGGGGTTGGGTTTGGGGTTGGGTTTGGGGTTGGGTTTGGGTTTGGGGTTGGGTTTTGG